ATATAGCTGGACTGAAAGATATATATGTATATATATATATACATATATAGCGAAATGCCCCCCTGGTGCATTTATAAGAATATAATCTGAAAGAGATCTAAATCTAGGAATTAAAAATAAATAATAACTTGCTAAATTTGGGTAAAATTAGGAGATAAATAGGTACAATTACTAACTATACAATACTATAATAATAACTATACAATACTAACTATACAAAAAAGACACGACAAAGACACTACGAAGTGGATTGTGCAGTAGGTATTGAATACTAGGTTCAAGTTATGGTCAGGATATTGTAGACAAGACATGTGCAAGATGGAAAATGTGCAGATATAGTATAATTTAGATGTGTGTTCTGTAACTATGTGACCGAGTGCAAATAAGCATATTGTTCCCAGGTCCAGTCTGTAGTGGGTTTGTGGAAGTTTTGTTGTTTTTAAGTCTTTTGGTGAGTATTGTAAGGTGTTTGTGAAAGTCTTTGTGTATATCAGTCCTTCGGTGGTAGTTAGTTGAGAGCTCTGACTGCTTGGGGGAAGAAGCTTTTGCAGTGTCTGGCCATTACGGTTCTGATCCTGCAAAACCGTCTGCCAGATGGAAGGAGGGAGAACAGTGCGTGTGAGGGGTGGAAAGTGTCCTTCACTAAGCTGTTCAAACGTCGGATGATGTGTCTGTCGTAGAGTTGGGAGATGGATGGGAGAGGGCCTCCAATGATCCTCTCTGCTGTCCTCACTATCTGCTGCAGAAACTTCATTTCAGCAAAAATGCATTTCCTGTACCAGAAGGTGATGTAGCAGGAGAAGATGTTCTCAGTGGTTCCATGGTAAAATGATGGGAGGATGGGAGGAGGAAGACTTGCCTTCTTCAGTTTCCTAAGAAAGTAGAGACGTTGTTGGGCTTTCTTCGTGATGGTGATGTTCAGGTTTCAGGAGGAGTCATCTGATATGTGCACACCCAGGAACTTCACACTGTGGACCATCTCAACAGCAGACTGTTGATGTGCAGTGGAGTGTGGGCCATTAAGCTCTTCCTGAAGTTAACAGCCATCTCTTTAGTCTTCTGAACATTTACAGGCAGGTTGTTATTCTGACACCAGTCCACCTGGTGTTGTACCTCCTCTCTACGTTGTCATGTCAAGTTCTTGCAGATGAAGTTCTATAGAGCACGGCAGAAAAATATATCCCTATTGCCAAAGGATGTACTGAAAGGTTTTACAGTTTTAACCACTGTAAATGCAAGATTGTTTAACTATCTTCTCTGGGCATCTGTTGGGTTTTGTGGTCAGTGTTTCAGGCTAGAATCTGCTGATTAGACCAGCATGTGGTCCTACAGGTGGAGAAAGTCTTTAAATTGACACAGCAGGGTTATTATGGGAAGCGTTTACATTTAGTATGTGCTGAGTAGGTAGAAGGGTGGTCAAGGGTCACGAGGATTCACAAGTGAATGAGCTCTATGGTGGTGATGTCAGAACACTCGAGGAACATCTGTGGTGGGATGGGCCTCCTAGATAACAGTGCTATTATTCAAACTCTCATTCGACTTTCGTTTCATGTGGTCACTTTGTGTAAGAACCACAAAAGCATTGTTTAACAGTGATACTCCTGAGTGGCTAGAGGTCTCTCATTAGTCATGTATCTGTGGATCAGCTTGATGTTCCATTCAAAGGTCAAAAAAGGAACAGAATCACATTTTCTTAAAACAGGGAACTTTGTAGAAACCTTCAGGGACTGGTGCAGTAGGAGCTGCCCCCACCTCAATACAGCTAAAACCAAGGAGATAGTGATGGCTAATAGAAGATCTAGGCCATTCCAATCATCAGTCTCCATACATGGGCAGGACACTGAGGTGGTGTACTCTTATAAATATCTGAGGGTCCTATTGAAAGACAAGCTTGACTGGGCCCAAGAGTACTGATTCTCTTCACAAGAAGGGGCAGTGCCACCTCGTCTTCTTGCAGCTGCTGAGGTTTTTTGGTGTGTGATGAGATACTGAATATGCATTTGATCATACTGTGGTGGCCAGTGCTCTGTTTTAATGCTGCTGTGTGTTGGGGCCCAGCTTAATGGTCAAAAACACTAAGCAACTGGGCAAGCTGGTGAAAAAAGCCACTGAACAAACTGAAATCTATAATGGACAATGTCAGATTTAAGTCCTTTTAAACATTTTTTTTTCGTTTATTTATTTATGGTTATGACTGGAGAGATGTTTGTGCCTGGATGGAGCAGCCGGATGTTTGAATTTCAACTTGGGGATAAATAAACTATCTATCCTAAGAGTTTGAAAGCACATGATCTATTCTCTGAACACAGATAAGTGCTGCCCCCTACTGATGAAAAAATTTTAAAAAGCGCACCAGTTCAAAAATACTGTGTAATGACAACTTATCAAAAACATACTCCAAACATACTCCAAATGTTAAGTTTTAGATGATGATGATGATGATGATGAAGATGAACAAAGCTCCAGAATCTATGGAGGAGTTTCTGGATGTAAAACATTTGAAAACTTCACAGACTCTCATTGGACTATATCAGGCGCTCAACTTGTTTTTTGTTGCCCATATTGGATACAGAAAGTGAAGATAGGAAGTCTTGGGTTAGAGGTTTTATTTCTGGGGTTGGATTGCATATTACGTGAAAATTCAATAAATTCAACCACGCAAATGCAAAACTTGTGTGTCATTTGACATCCCCCTGAATTCTTAGTAAATTGGCAAATCTATATAAAGCAATATTGCAGAAGTTCTACATTTACACAGTTTTTGCTTATTCACAGTATTACATGTATACTCATGTACCAATGTATGGTAAAAGAAGAAAGAAGAAAACTTAATATCTAGTGAAGTAAAGGTGAAAGATGTGCATAACAAAATACGACGATTCCCAAGGCCACAGACATGCACACGGTAACTAAGCATCAAACAGGAAATATTAAGTTTAGAAGGTTGTTTTTTTTTGCCCTTTCTTGAAACTTCTAACAAGGAATTCCAAACAAGGCATTTTCTCTGATAAAAACACGTTACACAATAAAACAGAGGCAATAATAAGTTTCCATTTTGTGGGGAAAAACCCCCAAATGAACAATTTTGAACTTCGATGGTTAAATGCAACATGGAGTGAAAGGCAGCACTAAAATGGAAACTGAGCTCCTTATCTGATGGGGCTCTGGTGACTGTAGTAATGTAGACAATGTATTTTCCACGTGCAAATTAAAAATAAATAAATAAATAAATAAGAAGAAGAAAAAAAAACAGTTTAAAGTTTAAATTATCTACATTTTCTGCCAAAGGATCAAATTAGACAAAGTGACTTTTACATAAAGTGCCTCACTGGTATAATGTTTCCTGTCTGACATTTACCTGAGAGATCTGTCAAAATGATTTAGAAGACAACCTGTTGTCATCTTATTCATGTAGATCGCCACAGGCAGATAGTGTGTGTGGGTTTGCCCACTTCCCTCGAGCTGAACAATTTGCTAATAAAGCACCAGCAACACAGCTCTGCACAACCATTTCACAAGGACTTTAACCACATCTCTGAGCAAAAACAACACTCCTGACAAGGTGTTCAACTTGTGCACATCACAAAGAAACGATGGAGCAACAACTTTTCATACTTTTTGTTTTGAAGTGTTTTGCTCTCACCAATCAAGCTGTGAAAGGATCAGAGGTAATCAGTGGATATCTTTGACATTGGTGCACTTGTTGTGAATGTGAGCAAAAGAAAAGGGGACTATGGATGTGTGCTAGACTAAGAAATGGTTTTATTGCAAATTTTATTTCTAAATATTATGACACAATGATGACTGCAACTTGCTGCTTTATTGTTAACTTGTCTTCATCTTAGTACTACCGACTAAAATAGTTGCAATAAGCACCATCTACTTTGCACTGTACTATTTCTACCTGTATCCTAGTATTAACACATTGTTATGTTTTGCCCGCCTGCAGGTCTTCTCCAATTTGGGCAATCTCAATTTAAATTACAGCTATGACGAGGATGAAGAAATTATTTCAGAATCTTCTCCTTGCAATAAAACAGTGCCTGGATTTAACAACATGGGGATGACCATCGTCTACATTATCGTGTTTGTTTTCGCCATCGTAGGTAACAGTGTTGTTGTCTTTGTCGTTTTCAATATGAAGAAAAGTAAAACCAGCACTGACATCTACCTGATGCACCTGGCGATTGCAGACCTGCTCTTCTGTCTTACCCTGCCGTTCTGGGCTGTGAAATGTAATGCTGGCTGGATCTTTGGAAACTTCCTGTGCAAACTCCTCTCAGGCTTTCAGGAGGCATCTGCATACAGTGGCGTATTCCTGCTGGCATCCATCAGTGTGGACAGATACTTTGCCATTGTCAGAGCTACGCGGGTCCTGTCCTCCCATCACCTGTTGGTCAAAGTTATTTGCAGTATTGTGTGGCTGGTGGCTGTAATGTTGTCCTTACCTGTGGTAATTAAGAGGGAGAGCATAGATACTGAATTTGGAGTGTCCATTTGCTTTGAAAACGTTACTGGTGAAAGCAGCGATCACTGGCGAGTGACTCTACGCGTTCTGCGGCATACACTGGGCTTCTTCCTGCCTCTGGTGGTCATGGCTGTCTGCTATGGCTGGACTGTGGTGACTTTGTTTCACACACGCAACCAACAAAAGCACAAAGCTATGCGTGTCATCTTGGCCATTGTGCTGGCATTCATTCTGTGCTGGCTGCCTTATAATGTCACTGTACTGATTGACACACTCATACAGGGAGGATCTCTGGAACTGACTACATGTGAAACTCATTACACAGTGATTGCCATGCTGAGTGTCACCGAAATTCTGGCCTTCATGCACTGTGCAGTGAATCCGGTGCTGTACGCCTTTGTTGGGCAGAAGTTCCGTAACCAGCTGCTCTCAGCTCTTTACAGACACGGCCTCATCAGCAAGAGGCTCCAGATGGCTTACAGGAAGGGCTCTGCTGGCAGTGTAGGCAGCTTAAGATCCAGAAACACCTCAGTCACAATGTAAAAAAGCCCTGATGGATGATTATTTACAGGCTCAGATGGTGGTCATTTTTAAAAATGCATCTTCAACTGGTCAAATGTCCTCAAAGTGCAATGTACTAAAGATCTAGAAAGTACATTGATGCAAACCACATACACACCATCAGCCCTAAATAGCAAATTCAGAGAAAGTAATAACTAGACATGTCACGTTTTTTTACTCCATAACTGCTTTTGCAAGTCGTGTGAATTTCCAGGAACAGATATCGGGGGAGCGAATTGTCTTTTTCTTTCTTTTGCTGAGATTGAAAAGGTAGCAGAAAGCAGCATCGCTTGGCTTAAGATAAAATAGAAAACAGGAGAAAACATCTGTGTAGAACAAAATCTGGTGGTAAAAATAGTAATATGCAGATGTTTCTGGATGTTAGCATTTCACACAGCCAGTTCAGCTGTTTCCTTTGGTTAACAGGAGGATTTTGTTTTCTAAATAACTGGTCAGTATTTCTCAGTTTAACTCATTCCATTCTATTGCTAGAATTTCCAAACAACACCCAAAATGAACTTGGTTCATTAGTAACAATGTTGCTACCAGATTTGAAATAAAATAGTGAGTTCAGTGCCTCACCTGGATCTCTCGTGGTGTAACTTTTGAAGTATTATTTCAGCACGAACATTGATTACTGAATCTAAGCAGTGAGAATTCAGAGAAAAAGAACGCAGGTGTTCAAGTTAAAAAGAGAATCAGATAACATGGTTAGCACTGTCATATAGCAAGAGAGTTCTGAGAAAGAAAGTCGGGGCCTTCCTGTGTGGAGCTTGCCTTGTCTGCCAGGGTTTCCTCTGGACACACTGGCTTTCTCCCACAGATATTCATGTTAACTTGTGCTGTAAATCACTTTAAGTGTTTAATAAAACCATAAAAGTGGTATAGAAATTTTAGTTTGACAGGTTTTGTGCTTTGAGCATTCACAAAAATATTGTTGCTGTACATGTTCTAATGACGCTTTAGTGTGTTTGTTCATTAAGAATAAAAAACATTTAAAAATCCAGTGTTGATGTGATATTGTGCACATTATTCTGAGGCTGTCCAGTAAATATTTTTACCTTATTCTACGCAGTAGTGGAGAAAAAAAGTCTCAGTCTGATATTATCTTTCACACAGGAAGAAGCAGTGGTGAAATCTGCCGTCTGTTTCAAAAACAAGTTGTGTTTGTTTCTTTGATGAAAAGGTTTCATTTAAGTAACAGAAACTCTGTAGAAACTGATAGTTTGTGTTGTAATCAGTGCTAAGACGCTGTTTTGTCCAAGAAGCTGTTTCTTGCATGATCAAACCAATGTGTGTTTCTTTGACTCTGTTTTTTACTTGAAGGTGGGAAGTGATGTGCGCATGAGTCTGCAAAGTGTTGCTTCATAATTAAAACTGCATGATATATGTGCACCACACTGTGCTTCAAAATTAAATGTCTCCATTATGCAAGCTTATTCTTGTGTTACTACTAAATATGTGTTTAGGAAAATGTGGTATATCCAGATTTGTTTCTATTCAAGGATATTTGTCAAATTCCGTCTGCAGCTAAACTCAAATAAACGTCGTCTCACACTTTGTGGTAGTCTGGCCATTTCCCTGTTTCCAGTTCTGCGTCTTGATGAATGAACAAGCTGTCTAAGAGGTATTTTTACCCGAACAATCATCTTTTGCACAACCTAATAAAGTGACTAAATCGACATTTGAGTATATTACAAAGGAAAGTTCAGCACTGTGGCAGAAAATCTTTTTGAAAATTCCTAAAGATAGAGATCTTCCTCGAAGAGGCAGATTTCAAAATGAAACTTTATTGCAGATCTCAGATTTAACGCCCCCACTACAGTCTCCACTCTGTTGGAGTTTTGTAACAGAATCAATCACATGTAAACACACATGTGATGGTTTCAAAGCACCTTTTCCAAAAACATGTGGAGCAGGCCCACCAGCTGTAAGGCTTTTCTTCTAGGAGATGGAGCTGTATTTTGAGATGATCAACAGCATTCAGCACTGCCAACTTTAACCCCTGAACAGCCTAATAATTAACTAAAAGTAACTAAAATGCATGTGAGGGCAGCAGTGCATCAAATATTCTGCTGGAATTAAATTACTGGGAATATTTTGACAGAAGACTTGCACATGAAGGTTAAGAAATAAAAACAGAAAAAAATGAACAAAGCTTAGGTTCAAGAGTTCAACCAGCTCTTACAGGTGCTTCCTCACTTTCAGAGCTCTTAGATGTAATCAACGCTTCCTTTAGTTAACAGAACAGATGCATTTGCCCCTGGACTTACACAGAAAAAACACTCCCTAATAACAAATGTGTGGATCATCATGACACTAGAGGTTAACGCAGATAAGCAGGAACTGAAAGTGGCTGCAGTAAAAGGCAGAATAGGAGGAAGTTGCATATTTTAATCTCAAGACAATTAATACAGCATTTGGTGACATGCATGTTCTAGACTTCAGGCCCTCATTGTTAGCAAAGGGTTTTAATCCAAGGATTAAAAAAATAAAGTTGTTTGAGCCTCTAAAGATGACGTGTGTGTTTGTGTGTGTCTGTGGGGGGTAAAAATTGCACAATACTTAATACAATCATTTTAGTAAAACTATTAAATTAACTTCAATCATATCTTGATTTTTTGTTAGACTTAAAACACCCTGTGGTGATGCACAGAGGCAAGACTGCACAAAAAGCATAAATCTGGAGCTGGAGCTGAATATACTTTGTGGTAAAAGAAATTACCACAAGAACACACCCACGCACACACACAGGCTGCACAGTTGTGACCTTAGTCACAGAGAAGCAGAATGAAAAAGGAGAAGGAGGATGTCCCATATTAGGACATTTTTCATGACAGTGGTGAGGCATCGTTTCCATATTCAGAGGAATTTATTTTTGCTTATCTGCGTAATAATTTTAAATCGATATTGTGTGACATTTTTGTTTTTAGTCAGCCTCTGCAACATAGTCAAAAACACCATGAAAACAGTCACTTCAAAACACAGGTGTACGCTAATCACAGAAAACACACTGATGCTCTGAATCCCACACAACTTGTTTGAAAGCAAAACAAAATACAAACAAAACATCATTGCATTTTATTCCACTATGTTAATACTATAAATAAAAACATTTGCTGCACAAATCAACACACAAAAGCTCATCAGCGTTTTGCCCCCCTGCAGGTCAAATGTCTGAGGGGAGGAGTACCAGATCCCCAGAATGTTGTGCTAAAATATTAACTATTAACTATTAACTACTGGGCTATTTCTAGTGTATTGATATGTGAGCTGTCCTTCACGGGTGGCCTTGTTTCCAGGACACGCTGATGTGCTTTGTCTTATATATTTTTGATGTGCTATATATATATAATTATATATCTATATTTTAACTAAAAAGAAAAGCTGAAAAAAATGCAAATAATGTCAGGAATACAAAACAAACAAAATAATGAGATATACAAGAAAAAGAAGCTAAAAGGAAGATGGAGGTATGTGTTCACTGTGAGAGTTGTTGCAATGCAGTGTTTTTAATAAATAAATAAAAATAAATAAACAAATAAATAAAATAATAATTTTATCTGGCGATTAACCATTTGCATCAAAAAACAAACAAACAACAGAACTTTTGTCCGACTATAAAATCCAACCTTCTCTTCATGTGTTATACCAAGTATTGTGCAAAAATCTTGAGCCACCAGTTGTTTCTTTATATTTGATTCCCAAGAAGCCAGACTTTCTTATCATTTTTTTTACAGTGCTCAGTAGTTGATGTTGGTCTTTCAAAGTTATTTGCTGGAGATTGGAGATTTTAAATAACATTTAGGTACATTGTTACTAGCAGGTTGTCAGAAAAATACATACTTTGCCCATTTCTTTATCTGAATCTATAAAAAAATGCCAAAGATATCACAGTTCAACAGACATAAAATAGCATTTTTGCACCAATAAAGTCCTAAAGAGCTATTAGCTGAATCTTTGGCATACCTCAGCATGGTGTGCAGTGTGTCTCAGTTAGGTGCAGTAAGTGAAGCCGATGATCTTAAGAAATAAAGAAAACACACTGCCAGTTCAGTAGTGTTTTCATGGATGGGCTTAACCAGAGCCTGGGCCTCTACGTTATTGAAGCAGAAAAGATCATCGTTACAGAGAACAGAACCAAAGGCAGAGACAAAGAAAGAGCTCTGAATGTCCTTCAGAAGAACCCTGGAGAACTACTGCTGAAGATACTTAAAGAAATTACAAAAGTTCGGACTCTTGAATTTTATGTTTGCTATAATTGTACAAACTCTATTTTTGCATGACAGACTTTATTTCCAGGTCTGTTTACGTGGAAATAAAGTCTTGAACGATATATAATATGTCGTCAACTTTTGCTCCTACAATCCTACAATCTAAACACATCTGGTACCTGCACTGCTATTTCCGGAGTGGGCGGGGAGAAGCCTGCGCGTAGGCCGATTCCATGTTACCATAGTAACAGCATAGCCGCAGCTCATCTGTTGGTTGTCCGCAGGAGCTGT